TATAAACCAAACTAAATCAAATCAAGCCTTAAGTCCCATCAAATGGGTCGGGTATATGAATCATTCTTCTCCACGCGACCCTATCAAAGGCCATTTCATTAGTCAAATTAAGTAGATTCATATCTCTATTTATAACGCTAGTCAACGTTAATCTAGGCCTACCCCGTCCCCTAACACTTCCATCTACCGTTACAATATCGCATCTCTTCACTACTGCCTCCGTTGGTCTCTGTTGAATATGACCAAACCATCTCAAACGATTTTCTCTCAACTTATCTTCTATCGGTGCTACTCCTACCCATTCCCGAATACACTCATTCTTAATCCTATCCTGTCTAGTCTTACTACGCATCCACCTTAGCTTTCTCATCTCAGCCACACTCATCTTATCCACATGTTGTTTCTTGGTTGCCCAACACTCCGTCCCATACAACATAGCTGGTCTAATAGCCGTTCTATAAAACTTACCTTTTAGTCTAATGGGTATTCGTTTATCGCACAATACCCCAGACGCACTTCTCCACTTACACCATCCTGCCTTAATCCTATGGGCCACATCTGCATCAATCTCTCCCGCTGTTGTGATAATCGACCCTAAATAACGAAAATGTTCACTCTTAGGCAGTTCTTGGTTCTCAATCTTCACTTCTCCTCTGCTTTCATTGTTACTGTTACTAAATTCACACTCCATGTACTCTGTCTAAGTTCTGCTTATCCGGGATCCTTTAGATTCAAGAACGTTTCTCCAAATCTCCAACTTTGTGTTAACTCCTTCTCTAGTCTCATCCACTAACACAATATCGTCTGCAAAAAGCATACACCATGGCACGTCATCCAAAATATTTCTCGTCAACTCATCCATAACTAAAGCAAAAAGATAAGGACTTAAGGTAGATCAGTATTGGGGTGTTTTTCTGCTTGAGCTGTACGAGATGAAAGTCTCATATATGGTTCTCAGAGGGGGGTCTTACCTATCTCAATAAAGTTTATGATTGGTTCGAAGAACGTCTCGAAATTCAGGCGATTGCAGATGATATAACTAGTAAATACGTTCCTCCTCATGTCAACATATTTTATTGTTTAGGAGGAATTACGCTTACTTGTTTTTTAGTACAAGTAGCTACAGGGTTTGCTATGACTTTTTACTATCGTCCGACCGTTACTGAGGCTTTTGCTTCTGTTCAATACATAATGACTGAAGCTAACTTTGGTTGGTTAATCCGCTGGACAAGACTGTGGCATCCGGGTTATCATCCCCAGGATTACCAGACTCAGACTCAGTCGCTTCAATAGGGATATCATCAGGTCCTAAAGCCTTATTTGATTTCATCTTCTTAAGTGCAATCTCCACTTCAAAGTTCCTAATCCTGCGACAGAACCTATAGTCTTGATTTATCGTATTACTGGTTATTTCTTCCCCTATTGTCTTACTTCCATGTTCCTCATTTAACAGTTTCTCAAAATAATTCTTCCATCTTTCCTTAATCTCATCATCCTTCACCAATACCTTAGAATCCTCACTCTTGTTGCACTTTACTTGATTAAAATCTCTTGTTTTCCTCTCCCGTATCTTAGCAAGTTTGTATACCCTCTTCTCTCCCTCCTTACTATCTAGTCTAGTGTATAGGTCATCATAAGCTTTCAACTTAGTCTCTCTCACTACTTTCTTGACCTCTTTATTAGCCAATCTATAGCTCTTAAGGTTTTCCTCAGTTATATCATTTTGCCACTTTTTAAAGCACTCTTTTTTTGCCTTAACTACCGCTTGAACCTCTTCCCTCCACCACCAAGTTTCCCTAGAGCTGGGCCCCGTTCCTTTCGACTCTCCAAGCACTTCCCTTGAGATTCTCCTCATACAATTGGCCATCGAATTCCACATAGTGTTAGCATCACCTTCTATGTCCCAAATACTTTCCTTATCCATTCGATTTTTAAATATTTCTAGTTTATCCCCTTTTAGGTCCCACCATCTCGTCTTACGACGTCCACCATCCTTCCTAGCTTGGTATTGCCCTCTAAAACATAAATCTAGTACCAAAATCCTATGTTGAGAGACCAGACTTTCTCCAGGAATCACCTTACAATCATTGCATTTTAGGCAGTCCACTTTTCTCACTAAGAAATAATCTATTTGGCTCTTAACTAATCCACTCTTAAAGGTTATCAAATGCTCCTCCCTCTTCTTGTACATAGTATTAACCACCACCAGGTCAAAAGCCAACGCAAAATCTAAGATTCTCTCTCCAGCCTCATTTCTGCCACCAAAACTGTATCCACCATGCACCCTTTCATAACCTAGTTTATCTATGCCCACATGGCCATTAAAATCTCCACCTATAACCAGGTTCTCTCTTACGAGTATCTCTTGTAAGATCTCATCCATTTGCTCCCAAAAATCCCTCTTAGTCTGATCATCTAACCCTACTTGAGGGGCGTAAGCGCTAATAATGTTCATTATATAATATAAAAGAAAAATATTTGAAACTTTCAAAAAAAAAAATTATACACTTTGATCAATAATAATGTGATAAATATGTGTCAATTTTTTATTTATTACACATCTAATGATATAAGATTTAACTTTCTTGCCATATTATTAATTTATGAGTCTAAAATTATGAATCTCTATCACTTTTCAATATAAAATAGGAGGAATTACAATTAAAGGGTCTTTTAAAAAATATTTACAAATATATGAAATAATTTTAAATTTTAATTATTAATGTTCATAAAATTTACCATTAATGTATAATTATTTTTCTGCATCTACAATGAATAATAAACTTTCCCATAAAATAAGCACCTCCCTAATTAAATAAGGAAAGAAGGTCAAGTGGAATCAGAAAAAAAATTCAATAATTCACGGGCCACTTAATACCATATATATATATATGTATATATAAATTGTTCTCACAAGAACCAGATATGATATAAATTTGTACTCAAATGATTTAATTTATGAAGTACTAAATTAACCACAAAAAAATGGTATAAATTTATGAATACACAATTTCAATTCACTTATTTTCATTCTATTGTTAGGGAATTAACAATTTTAATTATTTTCTTAGTTTTTTTTACAGAAGAACGTATAGAGAAGTCTCAAGTCTCATTCTATCGTTTGAAAATCGACTATTTTAATTATTTTTTTAATTTTTTAAGAAAAAAATAAAAATAATAAATAAAAAGAATGATATAACTAGATATTTTGACTTTTTAACTATTTTTTTGCTAAAAAAACATCACTCCAAACGGGTTCTCAGTCATTGACTTAAGGATTGAAGTTCGACCAATTAGCTTCAACCAGGTTAGCACACAGAGAAGTCTCAAGTCTCATTCTATCATTTGAAAATCGACTATTTTAATTATTTTTTTAATTTTTTAAGAAAAAAAATAAAAAAAATAAATAAAAAGAATGATATAACTAGATATTTTGACTTTTTAACTATTTTTTTGCTAAAAAAACATCACTCCAAACGGGTTCTCAGTCATTGACTTAAGGATTGAAGTTCGACCAATTAGCTTCAACCAGGTTAGCACACAGTGTGTCTTAGTAAATCTTATGAACAGAGAGCATCAATGGGTGAAATAAAAAATATTTGATAAAATCTGTTTCTTGATTTGCTTATTTCTGAAATGCTGCTACGGTAGAATAGAAGCACATGTAAAGTTTCTCATCCCCACACAAAAATCAGATAATACCAATCAATCATGAGCAATCAAAGAAATGGAGCTGCTTTAGATTAGGAAGCCAATGTGATGTGTGTTATGTTTTTTTTGGGTACATCGGAAAAGGATGTGTGTTATGTTGTCATATGATCAAAGAAAGAAATTGCATTAACTTGTGACAGACACAGATTTTGAAGTGAAATTGATTTTTGATTTTCTGTCATTTTTAAAGTGAGTTCCACCACATATAATCCCAACAGGTAGCCGCCAGGCCGGCTTGATTAAAAAACTTACTTCTTGTCCCCAAGTGAAAGAGGAATGGAATCTGTAAACATCTAGACTATGTTTGTTTGGGCAGACTGCATTAGCATTCTCATGACTACTAGTCCTGAGATTACGAATCCGTTGGATTATGTATCCTATCTTAACTAATAGTCAAGTTTAAAATAATTAGTCCGTACTTCAATTATTTAACCAAACATCAGACTAATAATTTTCTTGGACTATTAGTCTAATCCCAAGCTCATGCCCACCCAAACAAACATGGTCCTAAAGTATTCTGAACGTGGCCAGAGTCACCGGCAGCCGTGGCAGTGGGTGGTAGAGGAAGGAGGTAAGAGTGAATTTATTTTAAAACATGTCAAATATATATATATATATATATATTTAAGTAAATAACAAATTATATATAATCGGTTTCAAATTAGATATAAGATTAAGCGAGAGGTTTCTCTCCAGTTCACCATGTGGATTAGAGTGTACTGTTAGACTAGTGAGGTCCACAGGTCTTGTTTCGATGATCCAAATTGTCAATGTGTAGAATTCATCAAGTACTTTATGTTTGTCAAAGATCACGTTGATTTGATATCGATAGCTACTGATCAAAACACATTTTTGTCAATAACAAATATGATGTTAAAAATAAATTATTAACAAAAATATGTTTCGATTAAAAGGCTACTAATATCCAATCAATGTGACTGTTCATATCATCAAAACAGCATTCATGAGGAGCCCCACGTACGCAAAAGTTGTAGACTAGAGAGAAACCTCCCCCTAAAATTATGGACCGATATGGCGTACCCCAGGCAAGACAACAGTGTATGCAAAGAGGGATTGATTGTTCAACTCTTAAATGTTCACCTAACTTTCGGCAATTAAAAAAAAAAAACACAAGGGTTTTCATCTCACGGGCTCAACACCTCACTATCGTAACAATAATGTCTAACAGAAATTTATAGCCTATGAACTTAGTAGTTTTATTTTTTTTTTAACACAGATAAAAAAGATAACATGATTTTACACTTAAAAAAAAAAAAGTACTGCAAACAGAAACAAACATAGGAATTGAAATTCATTTCATCGTTCCATTAAATATGTTTTTTGGGGATCCAAACAGATCACAATTCTAAAACTATTACAAGTACTAGAGAGAAAAACAAATTGACAGTGTCCGATAAAACTAATAACAGCAAAAAAAATCAACACAACCGTCTGTGCAGTCATAGCAGCAAGAGCAACTGCAAACCCACCAATCAACCAAAAAAAAAAAAAAAAAAGAAAGACATAAATCAATTATAGATCAAAGTAAATAAAAATGAGAAATATAGTTTGTATTACAGAGAAGAATGACGAAATTTACCAGTCGTCCACAATTTTGTCCTGTCCACTTTCCTGGGTCATGGTTTGTGCCGAAGGTGGTTCCATCTCTGTCTCTCTCTCTCTCTCTCTCTCTCTAAAACTCTACTTTCTCTTTCTAAAAGGGAGTTTGGGAGACTCAGAAAGTGAATGGATGAGGCTATAATGGGAGGTCACGTGATTTTTGGATGAAAAAGATACTATGGAAATCAGGGAAACTTTTTCATTGGTTACGAAAATTATTCTTTCTCTGATTCTTCATTAATTAGAGTAGACTTTCTATTGACCACAATCACGAGAACAACAGAACCTATCAGATGGATCCGGAATACCAACCAGTGTTTTGGTTCGAGTTTTCTAAGTTTTTTGGAAATTGTGTTTTTTTGATTTTCGTATTTTTTTATTTTTAATAAATATTTTTTAATTTTTAAATATATTTTTTTATTTTTTAGATGCACCTTAATTAGATATATTTAAAATGTAAAAAGTTTGTGAAAAAATATTTTAAAAAATTAATAAATACATAAAAATATAAAAAATGTACTGAATTCTTTTTTATTTTTTTTATTTTTGGTATTTAGTGATTTTTTAAAAGATTTTTTTTACAATTTTTTTACTTTTTAGGTGTATTTATGTTAAGTGTGTCTAAAAAATAAAAAAATTACTTAAACTATTAAAAAAATTCAGTAAAAACAAAAAAACACGAAAAATAAGAATATAAAATTTTCTGAAAAATAAAAACAAGCAAGCTGCTTGTTCTAGGGTTTTATAATTTGTTTATGATGCCATGCTTAGAAAACTTATTACCCGCTAGGTCCAACTCAATTTAATGAAATTATTTTTTCAATTTTACACCTAATCCAAAACTGTTATCTAGAACACATTTTCGGCAATCCGTTACTCATTTTTATCTTTAAATCGTTTGACTCTCCCTGAATGACGTTCAGGCGACTCAAATCTTCTGTCGGCCATCATCGTCCTCCATTGCCGTCAACATTACGGGCCTTAAACACCGTTCTCCTTTGTCATCGTCAACATCACGGGCCTAAATAAATTCATCAGTGATAAATTTATCACTCTAGTTTATCATTGATTATTATTGATTATCACTCATATATTTATTAGTAAATTTGTTGAATTATCTGCTATTAATTCATCAGTGTTTTGGTTGTACAGTGTTAGTGATTATTGAATGATGATTGAATCACAAAATGATTTTGATTATTGATCATAGAATGATAAAAATGATAAATTGACCATCTTGCATATTTATCTCTTTATATTGACAAAAATGATAAATTTATCATTGTATCAATATAAAAATTCCAACATAGCAACAACAACAACGTATTGAACAATGTCAAAGATAAATTTATCATTGTATTAATATCAAAATTCTAGCATAGCAACAATCCACAGCATATTGAACAAATCAACTTTTATCATTGAAACTATAAATTAAGCCCGAACAACCTGTTACAGAAAAATAAGAGTCCGGCGGTGATTCGTCCACCCAAGAGCACTCTGACGTTCAAGTCAGTAATTATCTCTCAAAGACAACCAATAGTTCTTAACTCACTAGATAGAGTATATGGGTGCCTTACTTTTATAGCCAGCACTAACCTGATCCCTGTAAAAGCCTAGCTTCAATGGACTTTGGCTCAATACTCATCTTGGACCCCCAACTAGATAGAGATAAACTCCCTAAGAGCTTGAGCTTTATCCAGATTGAGGTCCTCTTCCATTCTAGGACTCTTATCCCTTATTCGCTCATCTTGGATTCCAGTATCTCCGTAGATAACGTCAGCTGACACTCCGGTGCCACCTTAGTCACGTGTTGTCATTCACAAATAAGTCCCCACAACTGCCTCTAGGTTCTATTACCTTGGCATCCTGAGGTGATGGAACCTACATAACACGCCGACTAAGACCTACTCTATCCTTCATGGCCGAGATCAGCACACATCGGCTTAACACGGCCAGGACTCTGCAGTCTACTTTATTAATGACCAAGAACCAAGAACCTAGTTCTTCAATTTCCTTAACCAGGACCATTCCCCTAGCCAAGGTTCTCGCTTCATTAAATCAAGAACCCCAAGAGTTCTATCTGCACATGAGCTGTCGCGCATGGTTTTCTTAACCGTTTTATCCATGCGTCATTTTCTCATTGATTCGTACCTGACACACGCCATCAAGTTGCATCATTTCTGCTCACGCTGCTTGACAGACACGTCGTCCAAGGCATATCATTTATGCTTTGTCGCCTTTTCGTGTTTTAACAAAACATCTCTCTCTTTACATTCTTGCTTTCTTTCTGCGTTCAAGTTTTTCTCTCTCTAACAAATCCCCAACCTCCATTGATGTTTCTTCGAGCTTTCCGCAACTGCTTCGATCACCTCTTCCAGCGAGCTTTCAGCCATTTGGTTCTGAATACTCTCGTCGTCTGCCTTCGGCGAGCCTCATATCAGCGTTCATCTCTTTTGGTAAGTCACAATCTCCTCCCTTTTCAGTCTCTGATTTATTTCAAAATCTATTGCAAGTTTATATGTTGTTTGCTGCCATTGTGAATCTGTTTTGTGCTCTTGAATCTTTACTTGTACTTTGAATTTCATCATTTTGGGTGTCAAACGTGCTTGTTTGGGACTTAGTTGTTCAATCTGCCATTGGGTATACATATACGGTTCATGGCCCCTTTGCACACATACGCACTGTTCATGTGTTTTGATGTTTTAACACTGTTCTTGACTTTTGCACAACTGCACACACTTATATAGTGTTCTTGAATTTCTATTTGTTTTCTTGCGTCTGAATCATTGCCCTTTTCTGTTTTTCTTGCTTATTTCCAGATCTTTCCCTTGATTTCTTGTTTCTGTATAGATCTAGGCCTTGGTTCTTGATAGAAATCACATACTTTAGGAAAAACTGAACCAAATCCTCCTTTAGATCCGAAAAAACCCTAGAAGCTGCCAGTTTAGGGTTTAGCCGAGGTATTCAAACCTATTCTACTTATTCTTTCCCAAACCTTGCACCTTCTTCCTTTAGCCGACATCATGGGTATATTCAGGTGGAGGGTGGATACCCCAGAAAAAATAGAGGCTCCGTTTGGTAAGAGTTTTGAATTATAGTTCCACTCACTGATTTGAGTGTATTGTTTGTTTTGAACTTTCAAATCATAATTCTATACCCATTTCTCAAAACTTAATTCAAAACATAATCATTACTTTTCAAAACTCATAACCAAATACATAATTCAAAACTCTTTTCAAAACTCAATTCAAATCAATATTTTAATTTTGTTAAGATTTTAAATATTTTAATATTTAAATATGTTACGATTTTTTAAATTTTTTAATTTTTTGAATATTTTTAAATATTTTGTGGAGGGTGGATACCCCAGAAAAAATAGAGTATTTCCGTCGAGAGTTCTCCATCCCAGCCGATGTTCACCTTAGACTGGCAGGGGAGGAGGATTCTATTATGCCTGATGGCGACTCCATGCCTTTCCCCGTAGTTGCTTTCATAAAGTGTGGATTTAGGTTCCCTCTAAACATTCTTTTCCGAGAAATCCTTCACTATTACAAGCTCAACCCGATACAGTTGGCCATTAACTCCTATAGGGTTATTAAGGGCATAATTGCTTTAGTTAGCTGAGAAAATGCTAGAATAACACTAGTCGACATTCAATATTGTTATACCATGTGTGGCCTGAAATCCGAAAAAGGCTACATCTATTGTCTCAAGCCGAGATCCACAGCTTACAAACTCGTAGCTGACCTCCCAGACTCCAACAAAGGTGCTGGAGATGATTACTTCATCGTCTCAGGCAACTGGGAATTTGACCTGACGACGACCTTTATCTCTATCCTCTGCGCCGATTGGTGTTTAAAGAGGATGAGGATAAGAACTAAGTGTTAACTTTTCTGTTTAAGACTTATCACTTTATTCCTTTTATATGTTCTAATGTATGATTTTTGTTCTTGCAGCTCTTCCCCAACCTTCAAAAGATTTTCGCCAGTCCTTCTTTCCTAGCAAGGACTTGAGAAGGCTGTTGGGGCTTGCTGGTTGATCAGCGCAAAGCCCCTTTGCTGCTCAATTACATTCCAACTTACAAATCCACATTGCCTGACGTTCCCAAGAGGAGCAGGACTCCTTCCTCTGCTATAACTCCAACAGTTGCTTTCTTACCAAGGCCAGACCATGCCTCATCTTCTGATCCAGCCGAGGTTGCATCAACGTCTACTCCTCAACTGATTCTTCCAGCCCAATGCCAATGCCGATGCCGGGCTCCACTCTTTGTTTCTATAAGCAGAACTCGTAGTCGCAAACGTCAAAACACTGAGGCGTCGGCTTCCACTCTTTGTTTCTATAGGCAGAACTTGTAGTCGCAAACGTCAAAACACTGAGGCGTCGGCTTACGATCCAGCCAACCCACCTACTGCACTTCTAGCAATCCGCTTTGGCACCAAAGTCATTGTAGCTGCCACTACCGAAGAGATGGGTTGTAGCAAGGATGTCATTGAAGACCTTTTGGCCGACCTTCTTGGGATCGTAACAGTTCAATCCTCCCCATCTCAATCCCAACCTAAGGCTAAGCCAAAAAGGGTAAAGAAAGCCAAAGCTAAGGCAATAGTGACTCAGATCGACTTTGAGGACACTGTTCCAATCTCTAAGTTGGCCGAGGCTGAAAAAAGTACTCCCTCGGCTGACAAGAGGCCAACCGAGGTTGAGGCGTCTGACCCACCATAATCCAAAAGGCCGAGGTCCAGCGGATCCTCTAATCTATCCAGTTTTCGCGCCGACGTTCCCTGGAATCCAACCGTCACAGTTGGAGACTGACCTTTTCTTACGAGGGACAGTGCTTTGGACAGTTTGGAGGTCGGTGCCGCCATTTCCACCGCCGTTCTACTCCCAGCCGACATCAACCGGATGACTGAGCTTTTGGAGTATGAAAATTATGCAATGATGATGCAACATTGTGTCTTCGTAAGTCTCAATACTTGTAACTTTCTATCTGACTTTAACTCTGGTTTCCATACTTAACTAATTTCCTTTGCACTCTTGCAGGCTATCCAGCAGGGTCACTCTCTAGCAGTCAAGACTGATGAGTTCAAAAAAGAGCTTACCTAAAAGACAAAAGAGGTTGCCAAACTCCTTTCCTCACTCACTAATGCCAAGGCCTGTATCCGAGGTCTCCTGGATCAGGCCAAAGTTAATGAGCTGGCCTTGAAGAATACCAAGGATAAGGCCGAGGTTGCGGAAAATGTTGTCGAGGTTGCAGAAAATGTCGCCAAGGCCG